AAGAGCATGTTGGGAAAAGATTTATTTTTTCCAGCTGTGGTCAATTCTAAAAATATTGAGCACCCACCTTGAGTAAAGCCCCATGGTGGGTGCGGAGTCACCAAAAATGTAAAGCTGATGTTCTATACAAGTTGTAGGTTTGTGAGATGTGTCCTGAGAAATGTTTTGAGATGGTTTGAAGGTGCTGGCCTTGGCGGCACAAAGTCTTGAGTTTGAATCCTGCCTCAGACTTACTGTGTGCCCCTATGCCTCTCAGCTCCAGTTTCCACATCTATGATATGCATGGTCAATCCGTGTGGTAAGATTTTATTTAAACAGAGAGAGGGATGATAAACACGATGGATGAAGCCAATATGGAAGACATAAGACCCTGTTAGTCCCATGAGGACCGGGGATCCAGCCTTATTTAAAATGCGTATTTCCTTTAGTTCAGCAAATATTTATTATGTTCATGTTATTTGAAGTGAGAGAAAGCATAGCTTGGTGCTCAGAGTGCCAGTCTTGGAGTCAAGAAGACTGCATTCAAAGCCTGCTTCAGACACATCTTGGCGTGACACTTAACTCCTCCACGCCCTAGGCTACTCTAGACTGTAAATTAGAGAGGGCTCCCCAGCTATACTGTCAGAAGGAGTTTCCACCCTGGGAATGCTCCAGACGGATGAAATTGCAGATCTGGACCTCAACCCCTCTCTCTTCTCCTCCGTCCCCCTCACCCCACCATGAAATGTTCTAGGTACTGGGTTAGTCCTAGAGATTCAAAATAAAGCATTCCTGGCCCTAATCCTACCCAGAAAAGTAAATAAATGCAATTGAAGGGAGGAAGGAGGACCAACCATGCCATAGAAGCCTAGACCTAGAACTGTAGGGGACCTCAGACCCTCTAGTTTTACAGAGGAGGAAACTGAGGCCCAGAGAGGTCATCGCTGAGGTAGAGGGATTTTAACCCAGCTCCTCTGAATCTGCAGCCAGTGGTCTTTCCACTGTGTCCTGCTTCCTCCTGGGGTAGTCAGGAAAGATTTCCCATAAAGTTTGGCATTGGAGTTGAGCCTTGAAAGAAGCTAGGGTTGCAGAGACAGAGAGAGGTGAGGAGCAAAGCCTTCCAAGTATGTCAGATAGCCTGGGCAAAGGCACAGTGCTCTGTACCTAAGAGAGGAGTGCTATTGCCCAGGAGACAATGGTCAGAGGAGATGACCAGGCAGAGTAGGGGTTTGGTTTTTTTTGTAATTAAATCATTTTATTTTTTCCAATTATATGTAAAGACAATTTTCAACATTCATTTTTATAAGATTTTGAGTTCCACATTTTTTTCCCTCCTTCCCTTCTCTCCAAGATGGCAAGCAATCTGATATAGGTTATACATGTGCAATCACGTAAAACATATTTCCACATTAGTCATGTTATGAAAGAAGAAACAGAACAAAAGGGGAAAAAACACACAAAAAAAACAAAGAAAGTGAAAATAGTATGTTTTGATCTGCATTCAAACTTCATCAGTTCTTTCTCTGGATGTGGACAGCATTTTCCATCATGAGTCCTTGTAATTGTCTCGGATCACTGTATCGCTGAGGAGAACTAGGTCAATCACAGTGGATTATTGCACAATGTTGCTGTTACTGTGTACGCTGCTCTGGTCCTGCTCACTTCACTCAGCATCAGTTCATGCAAATCTTTCCAGGTTTTTCCAAATTCTAGACCAGGCAGTTTTCAAAAGAAGAAATTCAAGGTATCAATAGCCAGATGGAAAATGACTCCAAATCACTAGTAATAAGACATGCAAATTGAAACCGCTGTAGGTTCTAGCCCACACACATCAGATTGGCAAGGATGGCCCCCAAAAGGAAAATGACAGTTGTTGGGAGGCCAGGTACTCCAATGGACTGTTGGTAGTAGCTGTGAATTAGTTCAGCTATTCTTGAAAGCAGCTGGGAATTATACCCCAAAGCCACATAAGTGTGCACCCCTTGATTCCATAATACTAATACTACTAGCCATATACCTCCCAAGAGGTCCAAGACAGAGGAAAAGGCTCCATATGTACAAAAATTTTTATTAGCCAGTACTTTTTATTGTCACAAAGATTGTAAACAAACGGAGTGCCCATCAATTGGGAAAAAGCTGATCAGATTGTGGTACATGAATGTATTGGGATATTATCATGCTGTAAGAAATGAGAAAAGGGACAGATTGCGAGAAATTTGAGAAGGCGATGAGGGGTGGAGTGAGCAGAACCAAACAATTTCTATAACAGCAATGTTGTAGTGACAAATAACCATGAAGGACTTCAGAACTCTGCTCCATCCCATCTCCCAGAAGATGGAGGATGAAGCCTATTTCCCACGTCTGGGCAGAGGCTTGATGAAGGAGGGTCCAGAAGGAGACGGATACTTTCACATGAGGCCAGTGGGTGATTTTGTTTTGCTTAAATCAAATATGCTTTTTTATAATAAGAGAGGCCTTTCTTTGGGTGTGTGTGTGGGGGGGAGTGGAAATACATTCGGAGAGCGATACTAATGTCCAAAAAAAAAAAAAGAAAGAAAAAGAAAAGTGTCACTGAAATATTTTAAAATACACAGAAGGGTAATCAGACAAGCAGGCCAGTGTTGAAACTACCATATTTAACTGAACATGTACTTTAAAAAGCCAAGCTGTAATAATAGAGCTTTGTGGTTTCCTACACAATCTTTCTTTCTCCTGTTTTTTTTTTCTGCACATAGAAATGTTGTGTTTTCCCTGTTTGATAAGTTCATGTCTTATAAGTTCATAATAAAAAATAAAATATTTAAGTGTTTGATAAGTTCATGATAAAAAATACTTATTTTTTTTTTAATAAGAAAGGACAATGACCTCCTAAGACCCGGGATTATAGTAGGAATTAGCCGAAGAAGTCAGATAGGAAGGTCTGGAAGAGATTGAGTGATTGATGCTGGCCCTTAATAAGTGCCTGATTAACTAATTTATTAATGAGAAAAGATTAAAGTTTTGACGGAACATTATCATGGGAGGAGAACTCGAGTCTGGGCTGGAGAAGGTACTGTCTCGGACACGAAGGAGCCCAAAGAGAGATAGGGAAGGAAGGCTTTGGGAATGGGGGGGTAGAGCTAGGTGTCCTGCACAAAGGGTAACAGAAGCCAGGGGTGCTGATGAGATCAGATCCCCTCACCTAACTGGGGTTGTCACGGGGTTGAGACAAAGGATGGCAAAGAGTGCTTGGCAGATCAGAAAAGCCCTGTCCAGGCCAAGCCCTATTATTATCCAAGAAAACTAGCCAGAAATCATTTGAGACGGTGAAAGTTATGCCAAATCTGTTTTTACAGAGAAGGAAACTGAGTCCTAGAGAAGTGACTTGGCCAAGGTCACCCACTCATTTCTGGCAGAGGCAAGATTTGAACTCAAGTCTTCCGCCTTCAGCTTTATTCTCAATCAGCAATGGATTGGTCCAACAGGTTCTGAGTGTCACCTGCTTCAGCTGGGAGCAAAGCCTGCAGAAAAAGACATTTTGTAGGAATCTAGGTGGCACCATAGTACACAGAGCTTTGGGCTTGGAATCAGAAAGACCCGAGTTCAAATCCAACCTCAAAACCCTTAATAGCTGTGTGACCCTGAGCAAGTCATTCCACCCTGTTTGCCTCAAGTTTCCTCATCTTTAAAATGGACTGAAGGAAACGGCAAACCACTCCTGTATCTTTACTAAGAAAGCCCTAAGCGGGGTCACGAATGGACTGAACAACAAAACACTTAATAAAAGTTTATGGACTGACACTAGAAGATCTGGGTACAGATCCAACCTCTTCAATCTATAGCGTGACCAGAGGCAAGTCACTTTCCCTCAGTTTCTCCTGATGTAAAAAGAGAAGGCTGGATAAGACGACTTGAGGTGCCTCGCTTCAGTCAAGTCTCTAAGCATTTATTAAGCGCCTACTGTGTGCCAAGCACTTTGTTCAGTAAGGGGATACAAGACAAAAAGTCCCTACTCAGTCTAACAGAGGAGAACAGTGAATCCAATCCAATCAACATTAATTAAAGGCCTACTGAATGCCAGTTCAGGGAAAGCCAGAGCAGGGCTCTTAGCTGCTAGCATTTATTAAGCGCCTGCTGTGTGCCTCTGCGCTAGGTAAATGCGGGGCACCTCGAGAAAGGTAGGGGCGGGAGGTTCCGGCCACGGGCACGCGCTTCTAGCAGGGAAGGGGGGAGGGGCACGCGAGCCGTCCCGGGTCTCTCCCCCAGTCTTCTGGCTCAGGCTGGCCTCGGCCCCCGCCCCGCGCGCAGGCGCAGCGCAGGCTGGGGGAGGGGAGGGGCCTGCGGGGGGGGGGAGGGGCACTGTCGGCCGAGCTCCATAGTCCGCAACATGGAGGACGTTATTGTCGACGCCGCCGCAGTGGCGGCCAGAACCCCGGATTCTGCACCCCCGCTACGCTACGCAGAGTGCGCAGCCCCGCAGTAGCAGGCGGGCGGCGAGCTGCGGCCTCCAGGAATGTTACGTAGCGACTCGGCCGCTCCCCACCCCTCCCCCCGCCCCAGTTTACGCCACGTCGTCGCCCCGGCCGCGCGCGAGAGCTCTACGCGCGCTGCGTAGCTCCGGGGTACCCGGGCGCGCGGCGGGCGGTGGCCGCTGCGCAATCGGCGTGGCGCGCGTTCGGGAATGGCGCTGGGCGGGCCGCGCGGGGCGGGGGGAGGGGCGCGCTATTCCTGGACGCGGTTTACGTGCCGCCTCGGCCGTGCGTAGCGCTCCAGTCGGCGCGGCGGTCGCCATTTTGTGGAGAGCGCCGCTGAGGGAAGAAGAAGCATCCGCCGCCGCCGCAGCGCGCCCGCCTTCTCTCAGCCCCGCGCCCGTCTCCGACGCGACAGCAGGCGACGGTGGCGACGCCGACGACGGGAGACGTCGCCGAGGAGCGAGCGATTCCGAACCCCGGGCCCTCCTCGGCCTCCTCAGCCGCCGCCGGGCCCCTCCGCGCGGCCTGTGCCTCCGCCGCCGCCGCCGCCGCCGCCGCCTCGCTCCTCCTCAGGCCCCCGCCCGGCCGCGCCCCGCTGCCCGACCCCGGCGTCACCATGCGAGGAGGCGGCTTCGGAGACCGCGACCGGGACCGGGACCGCGGAGGGTGAGCCTGGGGAAACTGAGGCAGTGGGCGGGGGGAGGGGCGACCCGGGTTAGAGTTGACAGGACCGCGGAGCGCCCCCAGGGACAAATAGGGAAACCGAGGCTCGGGGGGACGGCAGCCAAGACGACGCATCGAGCTGGGAGCCCTCGAAGGCCGCAGGGCGCTCACTCCCTTGTGCAAACGGGGAAACCGAGGCACGGGGGGGAAGCGTAGGCTGGAGCGGCCTTTGTTGACCCGAGAGGACGCGAGGGCCCCCTTTTGTTCAGAAAGGGAAACCGAGGCAGGGGTGGCGTAGACGTCGTTTGGGCCCTCGTAGCGGTGGGAAGCCGAATCCCAAGCGGGGACAGGACCGTAGAGTGGACAGCTGCAAAGGGGGCCCTGAAATCCTGGGGAAACTAAGGCACCCCAAGCTGCAGTCTAGAGGGAAGCCTGCAGGCGGTCGGGGCCAGAGGGGAAGAGACCGAGTTCTTGAAGGACCAGTGCTCCTATGCCCGACCAGAAGGGGGTCACCGAGAGGATCGAAGGGTGTTCTGGCAGAAAGAGCTTGGAAAGCTGCAACCTTCCCCGGAGGGGGGGAGGCGGCACACCCTCGGGGCCGGGGGGGGGGGGGCCCCCGGGGGGGCGGGGGGGGGGGGGCCCCTGCGGTCATCTCTCACCTCTCTTCCAGCTCTAAATCCTATTAGATCAAAGGAGAAGGTGGGGGGAGGGGAAAGGAGCCAGTCCCTGAGAGCTCCCCTTGGAATTGATTGAGCGGACGCCCCCTCCCGCCCCCTCGACCGGGCCTTGGACGGGTGGAATTTGAGCCTTAGGGGATCTAGAGACCCGGAGTCTCTAATGAGAGCGTGGCCAAGATCCAGCACAATCTCAGTGTTGGTGGTGAAGGGAAGAAAGCAAGCCCCCACCAGAGATAGAAAGGCAATTTGTAAAACAGGTATTACAGGGGAAAGAATCTACTGTCTTCCGTAGGACGGTGGAGAAATGGAGAATATGTGGCATCTAATTTAGGAGGGAATGGAAGTTTCTTATGGATCAGGATTATTTTGTGTTTAGGTTTAGCACCTGGTGGGCACTTAATGCTTAAAGAATTGAAAAGATTGTAGAGTTCTTCCCTGTTGCATCTATTTGTTGCCTTATCTTACTGGTAGCTCCAGCTAGGGTCTGGTATCTAGCTTTTTGGGTTCCAAGTTCTTAATATGCTGAAGTCAGTTGGCTGGTGAATAGTCCCTTAATTTGTATAGTGCTGCATTTCACAGGGATTCATCCACTTGATCTTAGAGGGGATCTTGGAAGCAAACAGCTTCTAGCCAGGTCAAAGGACTTTCACTTGATCACATGACTAATTGACTGGCCCTGGCCTGGAAGCTAGCAGATTGCCACCCTTACTCTTGACCTTTCTCCTCAGATGGTATGAGTTGAAGAAAGGGGAGAAATCTAGTGGGCATTAAGTAAACATTTGTTCAGTTGCATTGGGGACTCCCCTAGTGCAGAGTAATGTTGATTTTCTATCTGGAGAAGATTCAAAGAAACCTAGTGCTGCCATTTTGGAATGTGCGCTTTTACTTGTAGACTCTTCAGTGTGGCATCTTTCTTAACTGAAGAGGTGCTTTGGGGCCCAGTTAAGGGAATAAACATGATATTTAACCAGTTGCTATCTCCTTGACAGGTCTTAAATCAGCTATGAATGGTAAGACATTATTGGAGTTTTGGTTTTTAAAGCTCAGTGTTCATTCTACTGGATCTTGGATCCTTAACATGGTCTGCTGAGTTTCCTCATTATAAAAGTTCAGATTTTGGGAAGGAGGAGTTTAGATTTAAGTTCTTATACAAGCTGCGTAATTCTGAGCTTTCAGAATGTTAAATGGTGGTGTAAAATCTTTTGGGGGAGAGGGTCTGGATAAATTTAAACTCCAAAAACCAATAGATCAGGTCTCCAAAGTATTGAAATACATAGTAATAGAATCATTCCTGACTTTGGCTCAGTGTCAGTTGAGCTTTTTGTAAAAGCGAAACGGTTTGAACTTGTCTGTTCGTTATACAGATACCAAACATAGACACATTTAATGATAATGCACTGTACTTTAAGCTGTTATATCTGGAGAAGACAGCAGCCTCTGATTCTTGGTTCATCACTTAGCATTGTTCCTTAAGGCCTCCATGAGTTTCAAATGACAAACCGATTGCCTTAGTACAAATAAAGTGGTGCCCTTTTACAGGTCTGCCTGTAAAGACCTTTTCCTTCCACTATCAGATATCCCAACTTGTTTTTGCTGTTTTACCATTTTTGCCCAAATAACTAAATTGTTAAATGATATACATAGGAATGGATGTGGTTAAGTAAGTGATGATTATTTTAGATGGCTTTTTTTGTGATATAGTGCAAAGATCTAGCCAGTAGCTTCTAAACATCCTTTTTATATGTATGTCCCAGAAATTTTCTAAGATTATATATGAATATTAAGCATCCAAAAATAGCCAGTATAAATGTTGGAGGTTACTGATCTTCAAATTATATTCTTGCAAAGCCCACTTAAACAGTTATTATTATCTTCAAAGATGGAATAAATCATACAAATCATGTGGGCAAAAAGTAGCAACTTTGACCTTTATGACTTTTATTGATGTAAGCGTGTTTGGTAGGGTTGAATAGTCTTCAGTTTGTTAATGGTTGTGTCCAGAAACATTCCAGTATAACAGGACAGATTATAATTATATGTATTATATATAATGTAATATATATATTAGTAAAATTTGAATCACTAAAGAAAGTTGTTGGGCCTATTAAACAACATTGGTATAAGCAGTCTCATTATGAAAATAAATACATAAAGTGTCAAACAATTTTTTAAGACCCCTTCACCACCCAACCTGCCATCTTGTGTGCAAAATAATAGAATTCTTTTTAATTAATAGCAAGACCAAAAGTGACATTCTTATGAAAATAGTTCCATCATTTATTTATTAATAAAAGGGGGGACACTGTTAAAACCAAGCTAAAAATAGATGACCAGGAGATTCAAATTAAAACAAAAACAAAGAAACAACAAAAAACCATAGGCCTTTGCTTTCTTGTTTGAAGAATCTGTTCTGCTTTGCCTCATTAGTCTCGGCTAGAGAAAATGGCATTGAAATGGCTGCTTCAACTGGGAATTGTTTATATAAAAAGAATGAAACCTTTTTTTTCCCCACAAACTGTCTTAGTTTTGTTTGCTTTAAACTATTTAAAGTGAATGCAAATTTTTGAGTAATAGCGAAGTCTTTACTTTGAAATAACAGTCATTAGACATTTTACTTACATGGCCTCATTTTTATATACTGGTACAAATGAATTTTAAGAAGCAAATTTGAACAATTTTTATTTGGAGGCATTTGTCCATTTATTCTATACTCCAAAATAATTTTTCACATTATCTTTTTCAAAAAAAATTTTGGTTAAAAGATTAGGAGGAAACTTGCCATGTTTTATGTAGATTTCCTTTAATATTTGCTGGCTCTAATAATCATTGGGTTTTTTTTTTTCCTGATACTTGAGTTCTATATGCATCAATAGGAAGCTGACTTTATTCGGAGATTGAGGATGATGGAAAATCCATCATTAAACTACTTAGCTAAAATGGCTGTCTTTGCTGGTTTCATTTTTGAACTTCCTTTATGGTTTTTCTAACTGATTGGTGAATGCTGCTTTTGTGAAATAAACCGGTGGTTTGAAAGGAATATCAGTGATTTTAATTCCTTAAAACAAGTTGGAATTGTCCTTTTTATTCTTTTCTATTTATGTTTAGAGAAGATTGTGTGTATATATCAAGTTATCTTAATATTTTGAATTACAGGAAAAAGTTGGAGACTCTAGTTGAGTTTTTAAAAATAAGAAATGCATTAATTATAAAGTTGGAGTTCCAGAATTGCTTCTATAGCAAGAAGTTGTTCTGGGTAGACTGTGAAAGAAGAATCTAATTAGGCATGGCACGTTGCAGGGGCTAGGAGGGGCGTCCTAATGCGAAAAGCTGGGAGAAACAGCTCCTGTTTTCCTGATGTTCAGTTTTGTGGAACAGGCATCGATGAGGAAGGGATTAGGCAGCCAGATTTTGTTGTCTACAAGTGTAGCTGTCTGGAATGGTGTTTAAGGTTTAATTTAATATCATATTTAATTTTTAGCTTAAAAAAACCAATCTCGTATACTTTTTGAAAAATGTAAATAAAGTGGACTAATTTTGATGGGCTTAGGTTTGGAGCAAGAGGAGGTGGAGGCCTGCCCCCAAAGAAATTCGGTAATCCTGGGGAGCGTTTGCGCAAGAAGAAGTGGGACCTGAGCGAGCTGCCAAAGTTCGAGAAGAATTTTTATGTGGAGCACCCTGAGGTGGCCAGGCTCACCCCGGTAAGTTTCTCAGGTGGGTTTTGTAAGCCTGGAGAGGACTTCTGAAAGGCCAGAGTGCGCTTCAGTAGCAATTTTTTTCTTAACATACTACGAGTCTCTTTTTTTTCTTTGTATGTGAGAGCTATGACTGTTTTGAGAATAAAAACCTGAAGGAAAAATGCACGTGTGCATGCATGTGCATACGTGTATACATTTTCATGCTTCACTGATGTGATTCCCTGCTGCATCTGGATCCTTTAATCTGTTTTTTTCTTTGATTTTATATCTTTCCTCTGTTATATTTGATCAGGTATAAAATGTGTTTTAGCAATAAAGTGATTTCAGCGTATCTGCAAAAATATAAGTAGCATTTGTTGCTTACTGTAGTATTTGATAACTAGGAGATGAGAACTGATATTGTTCCTAATTGTAAGTGTCTTGTGAGGTTCATGGGATTTGAAGTTGCAAGGGACTTTAGAGAAGACCTAGTCCGATATTTGCTTTACTTTGTGCTAAACAAATATTAAATTATAAAATAAAGCAGTCTGGTTACTTATTTCCATTCCATATGTTGACTGTGTAATAATCTGAGTTTGAGTTATTACATATAATATGACACAGAATAAAAAATTAACCAGAGCCATCATCAAAATGTTCTTTGTATATTTTATACTTTGATGACAAATTGACAAAAAGGATAAAATGATAGAACTTCTTTTTGCATGGTGATGACCCTGGAGCCCTGAAAGATTCTGAATCATCAAAAGAAAAATTAACATTTACAGGCGGGTTTTTATAGTGGAAAGAGCACTAGTCTAGGAATGAAGAGACTAGTTGACTTTGCCATTGGTCAGTTATCCAACTTGGAACGTGATATTGAGCCTCCTTGCCTCTTGGTCAAAAAGCATTTCTTTAGCACTTAGTGTATGGCTGTCAGTGAGCTAAGCCATGGCTTCACTTGATCATTTGTAACATAAGGCTAGTATTACTTCACAGGGTCATTTTAAATAAACATCAGGTGAGATAAGGGCTATGAGAATAATGCATGTGATAGAGTTTTGTTACTAAGAAGCAAGGTAAACTATAAAAATTAATTTCTAGCAAGGTATTTGACAACATGAGTTGAAACATGATAAGGATGCCTTGAAAAAATTATAACACCTACAATACCTACTTCCCAGACCATTCTAGATAATTACAGTTTTACTATATGTAAAATATTTGCCAGATAAAAATATTATGGGAAAAACAACTTAAATGCAAACTTGAAAAAGGATAGCTATTTTATATTGTGCATCTCATTAAGGTCTGTGTATGGATAGGGAATTGGTGACCTCTTGTTATACCTCAGTATAATCCGGTGGGATTTAATTCAGTTACTTAAAAGAAAATCATAATTAAAAACAACTAGCATTTATGTAATGCCTACTCTGTGCCAGGCACTGTGCTAAGTGCTTTTACAAATGTTACCTTATTTGATACTTAAAAACAGCCCTGGGAGGAGGTTATTGGTGTTATCCTCACTTTACCATTGAAGAAACTGAAATAAGTAGAAGATAAGTGACTTACACAAGGTCACATAATAAGAGTCTATGGCCTGATTTTGAACTTGGCTCTTCCTGACCCCAGGCTCAGCCCTCTTTCCACTGCACCACTGGCTACCTCAAAAGATGCCCATTAGGCTGAGGCATGCTTAAAACTAGTAGGAGGAAACAGCATTTTAAAGGCTTCCTAGACACTCAGATGTACTTATGGTTTTATTTTAATGAAATGGAAATTCCCTTTAATGGTTGCCAAGTTAAAGGAAGCTATGTAATAGCTATCACAAAGAGAAATTTTGTGCTAACCTGCTTGGTTTTATTTTACTGTAGTACGAGGTTGATGAACTGCGCCGGAAGAAGGAGATCACAGTAAGAGGGGGAGATGTTTGTCCTAAGCCAGTGTTTGCCTTCCATCATGCTAACTTTCCCCGTAAGTATTCTTCAATTTAGTCAAGTTATTCACGTACACATTTATGACTGCTGTGTATAGAGACCACTGATGCAGAAACTGATGAAGGGGGAGATTTATTTAGTTGGTCGAAGGATAAACAGGAAGGGTAATTGGTAATTTTACATAGATTAGATCTAGAGACTAGGTATCCTTATCTGATGACGTGGGCAGGGGTCAAACTGGAGGACTCTTGAGTGCACATATTTTGATGGGTGACCTGGAAGGGAGTGTCACACAGGTGAGGTCCTGCATCTAATGACATATACTAGGCATTATTGATTTCCTTAGCAAGTGAAGGAGCATGGGCACGGGGAGACTGTAGGTCATAAAATTCTTAGTGACTTGGAATTTCAAACCTTGTCAAAGCCTAAAGACTCTTGAGAGAGGGGAGAGTGATAAATACTAAGGGTGTTCTAAAGTATTCTGTCTTGTGAACGTCACATGATCTTGTTAAGAGACTTTGTGAGATTCTTCTAGAGCAGAGATAACCAGTGCTGTGCCTTGGGCACCTAGGCAATGGAATTGTCCAGAAGAGCACAAGGGTAGTTTGATCTGGTCTTTATACTTGATTTCTACCAAAGAGATGGAATTATTGTTGTCTGTTGGAGAAGCATGTTCCGTAAATGTGCTTATAAATCTTTTATTTCTTAGGTGCATGTGCATAGCAAGCAGTTAACCTTTATTTCCTTTCATATTGAATGTGAGTTACAGGAAGATGGGGGGTGGAGAGATCCAAAACAGTTGGGAAGCACTGCTGTAGAGTTTTGATTCTAAATTGTTATAGGAAGTGGCAAAATATGAGGTATTCCCCAGCTGAGTTCTGTGCAACTATTAGTGATGTTCATGTCCTTTTAAATTTTGAGTGAGGTGTTATGTTTGTTGTCTTGTAGAGTATGTGATGGATGTGTTAATGGATCAGAACTTCACAGAACCAACTCCGATTCAGTGCCAAGGATTTCCATTGGCTCTTAGTGGCCGAGATATGGTGGGCATTGCCCAAACTGGCTCTGGGAAGACTTTGGCGGTAAGTACCAAGAACCATATCACTTTAACAGTTAGTATCCGTTTAGTCTGCCTCTGTGAGTCTATCCTGAAAGACTACATAGTGGAGAGTGCACTGAGGTCCCCAGGACACCCTGGTTTGAATTGCACAGTTAGCAAGTTCCCGAACTTCTCTATGTCTGTTTCCTTGTTTCTCCTGTAATTCCTGCTTTCTGTAAAACAAGAATTACAAGACTTGACTACCTACCTCACAGGTTGTTGTGAGGAAAGTTTCATAAGCTTTCAGATGTTACATAAATGGGAGATTTTCTTAATTCAGTTGATAATTGCTTTTTCTCCCGTGCTATCTGTGTTGATACCGTTACTTGGCTTTAGTTTGGGGACTTTGTGAAATGGCAGAAACTTTACAGGAACTAGTTTTTTTCCCCTAGGCTTCAGCTGAATTTAATTTGGTGTTCTATAAATGAAAAGGCAATGTCATGTAATAGAGGGGATGCAGTATACAGTACTCGGGAGGCCTGTATTGAAATTCCCTCCTCAGGCACTAATATTGTTGCCACCTTAATGCAAATCTGCCTCCTTAGCTTAAGCTTTCTCATATGTCGTTAAGTGGTATTACCTACTTCAAAAGGTCGTTGTGAAAAAGTGTTTTGTAAACCCTGAAGTGCTGTGTAAATATGAGTTGGTGTTGCTCAACTAAAGGCATGAAGTTTTTTATTAAAGTTTTCTTTGTGTCCCTCTTTTTCAGTATTTGCTGCCTGCAATTGTTCATATCAACCATCAGCCATATTTGGAGAGGGGGGATGGCCCAATTGTAAGTGTCTTGTTTTGCTTTTTAATCTAAGAAGTAGTTAAAATACTGAGTAATTGAACAGGTGCACACTGTATGTGCTGAGCACCTTGCTAGCTTTTTCTGGGGCAACAGGAGAAAGTATAAAGTCAGCATTTATATGTACAAACTTTACAGGGTAATTGGTGAGGCAGGATGTACATGTAATATAGTGTTGAGGTTAACATCCCCTAGGGGAAGCAGGGTTTGAAGGTTTGTTTCAATCATTTATGCTGGTTTGAGGATCTCATTTTAATCCCTGCTTTACTTAGGCAAGGCATGTTTTACATACCTCCTTTTTGTTTTGCAGTGCCTGGTTCTGGCGCCTACCCGAGAACTGGCCCAGCAAGTACAGCAAGTAGCTGATGATTACGGTAAATGCTCTCGATTGAAGAGTACTTGCATATATGGAGGTGCTCCGAAAGGTCCCCAGATTCGAGATTTGGAGAGAGGTAATGAAGAATCAAAAGTTCTTTCGTTGTATATAAAATGCATGTATATTTACAGAATAATTATAGTTGTATTTCTGAACACTCGATATCTATAAATTAGATATTTTCCTATTAGTTTTCATTGTAAAAGTAAAAATGTGTTTCTTCCTTTTTACTTCACTGGATAATAAAATTCGTTTTTAAGAACATGCCATTTAAAAAGATAAGAATGTTCTCTTATAATTAAAAACTAATTCACGGTATTACAATATGTGAATGGAAGATAATTTCTGTTCTTAGAGAGTTCATACTATGATTGGAGGAGTCAGCACATAATAGGAGGGTTTAGCTGTAGAGGGCTTAGAAGGTCCTGGAGATTCTACAGGTATATCAGGGGATGCAGTAGAGGGGAGTGAGAGTGTTCCCTCTGGAATGGTTGATGATAGGGGAGGAGGGTCTGGCTGAAAGGGTGAAAGGACAGGAAATCCTCACTTGGCCTCAGCTAGGAACCCCCAAGCAAATACCTCGAAAGGCTGTGGGTGCCTTGGGGAAGGGAAGATCCATTTCTCTTTCCTTCCAATATGATCTTAAGGGCAGGGGTTAATTTGTATGAATATAGTAATAGGTTTCTTTTCTTATGGAGCACAGTTTTCATGTAAAAGTAATAAACTGTTCTGTAGTTGTACAAGAGATTTTGAGAATGCTGGAGTTGTACAGCATCGCTTATCTGTTTAACAGTTGCTTAAATCTGTGAGTGTATTGAGGGGTGCAGCCAATAAAACTTCTGCCTGATAGCTGGCTCCGCAAGTATAAAACATGTGACAAAAGTCAGGTCAATGGAGAAGCTGTACTTGAATTGAGAAAGCATTGGGTTCAAATCCAGCCTCATAATTGAGAGCTCTGTAACTGTGGGTCTGTAACCTACCCTTAGTTCCCCAGTTATGGATGAATACCTGATTGGCAGTGGAGGAGGGAATTACTGCAAGGATGAAATCATAGGTATGGGTGCTCCCCTTGACTGCCAATGTCAGTATGGTGCCATTGAAAACTTTGATATGCTATAAAAGTGAGATATAATTGAGGAATGGAAAGTACAGCAGGATTGGAAGTTGTAGAAAGAGTCCTGGATTTGGAATCACAGCTTGGGCTCTTGCTATTACCTGTGTAAAAATGAGGTCAAACTAGGTGTTCTCCTTGTCTCTCTTAGTGCTAAACCTGACAATACTGACTGCTGCTTGTCAAGGTTGAATTTGATCTTTCCCTGCTGCTTTTTATCACAAGTTTACATGGTATACCTTAAAGTTTCTACTGCTTCTTAGCTGAGTTCCTTATTCTTAACTGTGACGGTGTTGGTGTGTTGTGTTTTTTTTTAGCTTTTGACTGTGTAGCTCATTACTTTGTTGTATATGTAAATGACGTTGTCCCTCTTTTTGAATTTTCTTTTTGTAGGTGTTGAAATCTGCATAGCCACTCCTGGTCGCCTGATAGATTTTCTGGAATCAGGAAAAACCAATCTTCGCCGTTGTACTTACCTTGTGTTGGATGAGGCTGACAGGATGCTTGATATGGGTTTTGAGCCTCAGATTCGAAAGATTGTGGACCAAATCAGGGTATATAAAACTGATGCTTTTTCCTCTTAATCTCTAGCTGTAAAAGTTCCTTCATCCAGCAAAACTCTCCTTGCTTTTGTAGCCTGACAGACAGACGCTGATGTGGAGTGCCACCTGGCCAAAAGAGGTTCGACAACTTGCTGAGGATTTCCTTCGTGACTACACCCAGATCAATGTGGGGAATCTGGAGCTGAGTGCCAACCACAACATCTTGCAGATTGTGGATGTTTGCATGGAAAGCGAGAAGGACCACAAGTATGAAGCTGTTCTCAAATAACCTATTACTGAGTAGGCCAATTAATTATTTTTTGACATTTGAACGTTTCTTGTTGGTTTTCCAAATCCGTAGTATCAGGGTACCTATAAGTGAGCATTGTAACACAGCAGGTAAACATCTTAGAATTCGTGATTGCCTTCCAGACTCATCCAGCTGATGGAGGAAATAATGGCTGAAAAAGAAAACAAGACCATAATCTTTGTGGAGACAAAGAGACGGTGTGATGACCTGACCCGAAGGATGCGCAGAGATGGGTGAGTGTAATGTTGAACTGTCAGCTTCAGTCTGTTAGGAATTCTAAAATTAAAATGGTAACCCTTTAACAGTTTGCTTTGTGCTTTGCAAAATGGTCGCAACATATTGACATGGTAACCTCGACAAAACTTTAGAACGTAATTGGTGGTTACAGGTATTTTCTTGGCTTTGTTTTCCTTCTTAGTGTGTTTTCTAAAATGAAAGTCAATTTTCATTGACAGGTGGCCAGCTATGTGTATCCATGGAGACAAGAGTCAACCAGAAAGAGATTGGGTACTCAATGGTGAGTATAGACCTATTGAGTAGAATATTGGACATTTTCATGAAATATTATTTTTCTTATGAATCAGGCCAGTAGCTCAGAAGTACTATTCTCTGACTTCTTAAACTTTGTAGCACACATTCTTGAGGGAGGAATATCATGAAAGAAAAGGGGAAAATGTGTTTTTAAACTACTGTGTAAAGTAGGACTCAGTAATACCACTCACTGTTAGCAAAAATTTTGTACTTTTCCCTGCTACTTTGTATTATCTGTTCCTTTTCCCCTCATAGTTCTTTTTCTCTTTAGTTCATTAAGTTATTAAGGTGGGATGAAATGTATCCTCCTTTTTTTAAAGGAATATACCTGTCTTCCCTGAAGCAGTTTATTCCTGACTCCCCCATTCCTGATGGAGCTTCATGAATATTTTAGAAGAAAGTATGTTAGAATGTGAAGAGTACTGGACTGGAAAAGAGAAAACCTAGATTCAGATCCTTGCTCTGCTTCTTAGGCATAGACAGATCACCTCACCGATCTAGCCTTCAGTTTCCCCGTTGCTCAAATGAGGGGTTTGGACTAGAACCGTCTCTGAGCTTCCTAACACCTCTACATTGAATGTAGGATTTGGTCCAGAAAATAGAGAGTCTGGGTTAGATGTGCGGTAATAGAAAGGTGGTGATTTTGGGGGGAATACTACTTCAGATTTTAATCTGACAGAATGGAAGGAAAGGCCCAGTAAAACTAGAAAAGTTTGCTGGATTTTCTTCTGAAACGTGCTTCTTAAACTTAGCTCTGTTAACTCAACATGACTTTTGGGGGGGCGGCTCTTGTCTTTCAGAATTCCGTTCTGGGAAGGCTCCCATCCTCATTGCTACGGATGTAGCCTCTCGTGGGCTAGGTTTGTACAGATAGGTGTCTCTTGCCTGTTAACTGGTATATGTATCTTTTTTGGTTGGGAGGTTTATTTATTACCTCAAAGTAGAGTCTATATATATGTGTTTAGATACATTTTTTAAAAATAATGTAAAGCGTGATTTCCCTCACAATTTTTTAAATCTTTGGTGTCTTTTTCTCCTAACGTGTTCCAAGTCTCTTCCTGCTCCTAACAAACAGGCTTTGGTTTGCAGCAAGGCCTAGGCATGACTACTCGAGGGAGAAGAGACACTCAATCAGTTAAAGCAAAGCAGTCCATTCTGGCCCACCCCCAGTTTGCTCTCAGGCTTGGTTGGACAGCTCGGGTTGTATTGAGGGTGGCTATCTTCAGCTCACGTGTATGCCAAGGAAAGATCTGTATGAATGTTCTCATCAGTTGCTTTGAAGCAATTTTCATCGTAGTTGTTCTCCTTGATACTTGGCCAGCTGAGCAAAGGTTATTTGCCCCTGTTTCAACCCATTTGTGGTAGTTGCCTATCTGTGAGGCAGAGTTCTGAAGTTAGTTCGAATCTTTTCTTTCTCTGCTCCACAGGACTGTTGCGATGAATTGTTGGGGTTTCGCAATTAAGACTTGAGCATATCCTTGTATGGATGGCTTAGTCAATCACTGTTGCCCAATTTTATCACTGACTGCTATAAAATAAATTATCTTGGGCACTGAGTTCCTGCTTTGTGATAAACATATAGTCACTGCCAGTTTTAAAAATGAATCTTCTGGCAGGCTTCCACTGTGACTTCAGATATACCCAAACATCTCTGGGCCACTTTAGTTTTTTAAAGTGGTTGTCAGACTTGGCAGTGCCAGCCTCTACTTTAACGTGTGTAGATAGATTCACTCATGAATTAAGTCTGACTTGGTGGCAGGTTTCTGTAGTTGGGAGCCTTGTCTTAATCTTGAAAGGCCAGAAAGGCGATACACTCAGAAGCCTCATGAAGGCATGGAACCTAACAGACGAATGTCTAGACCTAAGCTCCAAGTGTTGGCACGTTTTTCCTCTTCAGACTTCTCTTTCTCTAACCCTTACCCAAAAAGCGTTGCTGATCGCCTCTTCTCTAAGAGGCGGTGGCCTCCCAGCCGTGACTGGAGACTGTCTCTGCCCTCAGAAGGTCATGTCTGGACCTGTGCAGCGAGAACTTGGGCCTGTTGGGAGAAGGGGCTAAGGCCTGGAAGCAGTTTATATGGAAAACAAAGCTTTCAGTGATGGTGATTTTTAAACAGGCTTGCTATGTGCTGGTAGCTTCTTTGTGCATCTCGCCTAGACAGTTAAAATAAACCTGCAGCCCACCCACCCAGCCCTGCACCCCCATCAACCTAATTGGCCGCCATGTTGTAACCAGCCTCCCTACCCCCACCCCCCACTCAGACGAGTGAAGGGGCCGGGAAGGTCTCCGAGTCTGTTTCTTGTTACTAAACAGCACCTGTGCTTGTTTGGGCCCCTTTGTTTGCTGCCTTGTAAAATCAAAAGGAGGACAGAATAAACTGGCCAGCTTGTGACCACGGTCCTCTGAGATCTGGAAAGTGAAGGCGTCTACCTCGTGTAGACAGGGGCGCACTATTTTGGCGGAGTCACCAGGCCTTTTCTCTCCCTCCCTGGCAAACAGTGGTTTCTTAAATGCTCCCTTCAGGTAAGTTCAACTCCCAGAATTTCATTAGTCACTATCAGAGAAAACTCCTTCCCCTGGTCTTTCTAAAATTTTGTTTTGTTAAACTTCACTTGGTTTAAACTAAAAACATTGAATTTCTTTTGTCTTGTTTTCTAACAGAAGCTTTGCTATCAGCTGCACGTCACTCAGTGCAGGCTCGGGGCATCTCTGCATGGGTGGTCTGGAGCAGCTCTAGATGAGCATATTTCTTAGCCTCTGTCCCCATCCTGTTCCCCACTCCCCACCTCTTCCATTGCCCCCCTCCCCTTCCCCAATTAATGACCAAGCTGCAGGCCAAACCATAGGGCTTTTTTGATGGTCTAACCAAAGGATATGTGGCCCAGAGTATTTCTTAACCCTGCTCCAACTTCTCTAAAGGCAACAAGATAATACCTTTGTGGCACACAGATACATCAGAGCATGATTGACTTGAGAAACCAAATCCTATACTTGCTCTTGTGTGTGGACACAGGACCACTTTTTTAGTCTGGGGAACCATCACCACCTTTGGCCCCCTCCCTGCTTCCCTATCCTCCAGATGTTCCCAAGTGTTAGAATCTAAACTATTCACTACAGTCCCCAATGCTTTCTGTTAAGAAAGCACTTCAGTGCAATAATTCAGCTTGCTCTGCGGCTGGTGGACAGACATGCGGAATGGGATTGACCAAAGAGCATACAGTTGGCTGCTTGTCAGAATCTATTTACCCTGGCTCTGAAGATGTGACTGTGTTGATCAAAATTTCCCATCCCCTTATCTTACTCCTGTCCTATCTTTGCACAATTTTTTTTTTTTTTTTTTTTTTTTGCTCTGTTGCATCAAGGACCCTAGCTGGAGACTCACGCTGCCCCCTGTGATATCTGCCTTCTCACTCTTTCTGGTGTGATTCAGGACTTGGGAGTCAGCAAAGACTGAGGAGCCTTTACTGTAATAAGAAACAGACATAATGCCCCTTTCTTCTCCTCCCCTTTAACAACAGTTATATAAACATTTTTTAAAAAAAAAAATCATCTCCCCCTGAAATTAATGCAGTCTGGGCAATAGATGCAGTCTGACCCTTTGGATGTAACTTTTGCATTTTTATTCATTATTTTTTTCTACAATCACCCCTATTATCCCCGGGGGGAGGCGTTGGAGGACCTGAAATTTTTACCCGAACCCAGGTTCTCCGGCGCTTGGCAACCAAATGGGGCTACAGAGAAGCATCTAAGCCAGTTCACAGAGCGAGCGTGTGTGGGGACATCTCACTGCCACGGACCCTTGATGCATGCTCCCCGCGCTCCAGTGGTCCCGTGTCAGAGGGCGGAGTTTTCGAAAGGAGGCCGCCAAAAATAAAAGGCAAAGAGACGGGATCGGCTGCAGCGGTTTCCCAAAGGAGGAGGGAGTGTGCATCGGTCTGGTAACAAACAGAGAATGTTTTTTAATTATTTATATCACAAAAATCTGTGTTTTATCTTGGATATTTTTGGAATATTCTTTGTAAAATGCAGATTTTTTTTCCACAAAACATTAGGACTCTAATGACAGTCTTAACTTTGCTTGTTATAGTAAATAGATTATCTTACGACTTCAAGCATCACACTAACATTTACATAGTTTTAGAGATGGCCAGAATGTATCTCAAGGTTTCGTGGCATTTTCCAAATTGGCTATTCATCTCATTCCCTGGTCACTTAGACGAGCTTTGGTTGAGTTTAAACCACAGCTTTGAGTTGAGCAAAATTATCAGAAACTGGACTTGGTAGTGTAGTAAAATTTTAGTGTAATGTGTTTTCATGATAGAAGAAAAAGAGGCAGGGAAAGATGATTTATTGCAAGTTTTGGGAAAAAAATGAGGTGGGCAGAATTTGTAACAGGAGTGTTTCTAAAGTTGAACGATGGGGAGTTAATAAAGAACATGAAATGTTTTGGTTGTTCTTTGACAAAGTAGTCATAAGAAAGTAAATGCAGCTCTGTTTTTGCCTTGTAACTGGTTTGAAGGTAAGTGTGTGATATTACTGTTATGTTTTGCTGGGCTTCTCCCAACAGAGTCGAAGTGGTTTGCCCTTACTTATAACAATGGTACCGTTTTGCTCCATGTTCTAGTGAGTTTGGAGAGGAGGGGGCTGGAATTCACTTGACTCTTCCACAGAGGGTGTCTTGGAGAGTTCCTGGCATTCCAGGAAGTGCTTTTGATTCAGCACAGGCGGGACTTGACAGATGGTTGCTTAAATACTTTTGCATCCATTTTGGGGTGGGGTGCCACTTAGGAGGTCCCCAGAATGAACTAATCTTGTTTCTCCCTCTTTTACTCTGTTGGGATGAGTCTGTTTTGTTTCTGTTCAGTGTGGTTACTAATTTATTCTTCTCTCCTCTTGCTGTCATCTACATCCGTGCTTCCCACCTGTCGCTGGCACATTTTTTACCTTCTTTCCCACCACTTCAACCCCCATTTCGGGATTCACCGCCGGTCCTGAAGACGTGGAAGATGTTAAGTTTGTGATCAACTATGACTACCCAAACAGCTCCGAGGATTATGTGCACCGGATTGGCCGGACAGCCCGGAGCACCAACAAAGGCACCGCCTACACATTCTTCACCCCGGGAAACTTAAAACAAGCTAGGGAACTAATCAAAGTGTTAGAGGAGGCCAATCAGGCCATCAACCCGAAACTGATGCAGCTGGTGGACCACAGAGGAGGTGGTGGAGGCGGGGGTAAGATCGAAGTCTTGAGGTTTTTTGGATCCTTGCTTGGAGCTTTGAATAGGTACTCTCTCTGCTTTGGTCCATTGGGGGTAGGTGAAACCCAGCTACCTGGCAGTTTTGTTTTATTGAGCTTAGGGAGAGGCGGAAGGGAAAACTATAGTTTTGTTTCTTCCCTTCTCTATTGAAAGTTACAATTTAGTCCTACGTTGTATGGGCATAGCCTGGGTTTAATAATGGAGTTCATATACCCTGGTCATTAGGAAAATATATCACAGTATTGAGAGCTTCATCCTACCCTTTCCTTCTCCAATGTTAGCGTGTTTTCTCTTAGATTTCTGACTGCCAGCCTCAGTGACCATGATGACTGGATGATCAATAGTTACTGTTTAGAAGTACGTGCAGGAACACTCAAAATTGAGGATAAATGACTTGTGTTGCTTTGTTTTCAGAAAGTGTTATCCATGTCATTAATTTGTACTGTATGCTGTTTATTTTCCAGATAGGAGAGGTGAATAATTTTGGCCCCTTTTTTTGTGATTGTAGAAACAGGTAGAAAGGTTTTCAAATCATAGTGTTAAACAAATCAAATAGAACTTGGGTCGGTCAGCCCACGCCCAGGTCAGTGCAGCTGGCCACTCTCCTGACTGTCATATTTTAAAAGCTCAGGTGTAAGTCACTTAAATTTCTGAAATGAGATTTGCTTAGCTCACGTACTTAAACGTAAAAAAAAGCAGTTGTCAGTTGTGGTGTGGACCGAGGTGGGAGTGTAGGGGGAATAGGGAGTAGCTAAAGAGCTCTGTCAACAAGTTGACTGCTCCCTTCTCTATGTGATATGTGAGATCCAGCTTTTGTGTGGGTTTCCTTAGAGGAAATGCAAGTGAAGGAAAATTATTAGAAATAATTGCTGTATAACTTCTTTAGAAAGTTACAGCTTTGGGATTTGCCTTTAGTTATAAAAATTAGGAAAAGTGTGAGGTCCTCACGTCTACCTGATCATATCCAGTCGTGTTAAAATCCTGTGTAATTCCATGTATCTTTCCATTAGGTGGTCGTTCTCGATACCGTACCACCTCTTCGGTCAACAATCCCAATCTGATGTACCAGGATGAGTGTGACCGCAGGCTTCGAGGAGTTAAAGATGGTAGCCGGAGAGACTCTGGAAGCTATCGTGATCGTGGAGATACGGACAGAGCTGGTTATGCTAATGGTAGTGGCTATGGCAGTCCCAATTCTGCCTTTGGAGCTCAAGCAGGCCAATATACCTATGGCCAAGGCACCTATGGGGCAGCTGCTTATGGCACCAGTGGCTATGCAGCTCAGGAGTACGGGGCTGGCACCTATGGTGCTAGTAGTACTGCCACGACTGGGAGAAGCTCTCAGAGCTCCAGCCAGCAGTATAGTGGCTTGGGCCGGTCCGGGCAGCAGCCTCAGCCTCTGATGTCTCAGCAATTTCCACAGCCTCCTGGGGCTACTAACATGATAGGTTACATGGGGCAGGCCGCCTACCAGTATCCCCCACCTCCGCCTCCCCCGCCTCCCTCCCGTAAATGAAGCCACTCAGGCGGTGGTGAGACGTGTCCAGACCTTTTACTTACGTTTAAAGGAACTCTCTTTCCTTTTTACTTTCTTCCCTTTTTTTTTCTTTTAACCATTGTGATTTGTCTTTCATGCAGGTTAGTTAGAGTTCCGCTGCCAGATTTCTTCTGCCCGCCAAAATGATCCAGTCCATATTACAAATTTTGTAAAAAAAAAAATATATATAGCTGACTGGAAACGTTCCCTTTTTTTTCCCTCCAACTTCTTGCATGTTGAGGAAATTTGAGCTGAGCTTTCTTTTCTCTTAAAAGGAAAAAAAGTGGGCATTGGCAATTCAGTCCTAGCCCATTTTTTGTTTTGTCTAAGTTACAGAGTTGGGTGGGAGGGAGATTTGCAGTGTAGCACAGGAGAGCACAGCGTCCATGCTTTCATGTGCTCATGTGACTGGGGTGCAGGGAGAGCATGCAGAGCATTTGCTATGATGTTCTAAATTCTCTGAAAGTAGCTTGGAGTTGAGTTCTTTTAATGGGCACTGGGCACTGTTTCTAAGCTCCCATATTTTAAGGTTTTACTTGGTTGATTGCCAGTTAAACATTTCATGGCAACCAAATTCAAATTGGATTGGGTATTTAACTCTGCCTCCTCCCACCTTCCATGTCACCCACTTCCCTGAAAAGTCATCTTAATGGGTCTGCCTTTCTTAATGAAAAGCAGCCATTGATGGTCAGCCGTAATGTCATGGAAATTAGTTTGCTGAGAATCTGGATTTAACTATGGCCAGAAATAACAAGCTGGTGTTTAAAATGAATGTCTTTAATTTGAAAAAACCATGAGTATTTTCTGGGATGGTTAAAGTATAGCATCTCAGCAGCTGGGTGGGAGCTGCCTGTATCTATCTATTCCTCACATTGCCAGGGACCATCTGTGAAAGTCAGTTTCCATCCAGACAGCTGCTGTGGGCAAGACTGACAGAAATGCCCACGAAACAAAGCAGATTTTTATTAACCATTTAATTCCATGCATTCACCTGCAGGATATAAAGGACCTTTAGTTGCAGAGAATTTTCTGAATCTGTGCAGTGAACAGGGTTTTCCTATTATCATCAGTGTTTACAGAGCTAGGGTGGAAGCCCCTTTTTCCCTATCATCCTTTTATTTTTTTACCCAAAAGGGATTAGGCAGAGCTGTTCTGAGTTCATTGGTTTAAAACTCCCTTTATAACTGAGCTTCTGGGTATGTTTCTCCAGGATCCTATTGTGGTCAGTTTTTACAGGTAGGTAGTATTTTAGGGAAAGGTTAGGAAAGACTGGAACGTAAGCATTTAATTTGCTCTTTCTCCATCTGAAGGTAGGTGAGTGTTTGCTGTTTGTAGTTAAGCATGTTGTCTATTCTCTAATGTGACTTCATTTGGCAGATGGGCCAGGAACGGCAGATCCTGGAGAGAATTCCCTGCCCTTGTTGCACAAAATTTTCTTGTCTCTCCCTAACTAGTTATTCTGTTGACATCCTTTGGCAAAGTGGCAGAACCCCAAACTCCTCTCCGAAAGGCCAGTGAGAGAGGCTTTGTTTGGTTATTGTGGGCAGTTATGGGGATGAGTCTCAGTGGGCTGCATTTCTTCAGCTGAAGGAGTGTACTTGTTGATTGATAAGATCTGGGTTTGGCCTCCCCCATTTTGATTTTCTTTAGGGGGAGAATAAAAGGGAGGGGGTCCTGAGGGCTTCCGAAGGTCTGGTTAAGTGTGCAACGTACAGGTAGGTTGTTAGCATAAGCTGGAATTCTGTGCATGTAAGCTCTTTGGCATTCATATTTCCTTTTTTCCCCTTACCCTCCATTTCTCTCTGCCCCTCTCTTTTTTTTCTTCTATTGTGAAAGTTGAGGATATGGGGTGGGAGGTGGGGAAAAGCACCTGTTCTGTGGCAAAAAGTTTGCCCTGTGCTGTGTATCTTTAAACCGAGGCCCCCAAAGAACTTTTGCTGTCCTGAGCACTGATCAGTCTGTTGTAGATGTTTTCTTCTCCCCTCAAACAGGTGTGAAACTGTTCACCTGTGAGTTCTCATGCAGAAGTGCGCCAGGGAGGTAGTCTGCCCTCTCACAGCTCTTAAAAGCTGATCTTAATGAGAAGGGTCTCTTGGCAAGCAAGACAGTGTTTAGTCTGCTCCTGCTTCATTCATTGTAAAATGAGATTAACAGCACATCTCAAAAGCTCCTGCAGCTTGGATCTGACAAGTCTGCAAGGGTCCCTCCTGTGCCATCCTAGGCATCAGCCTCCCATGTCCTCATGCGTTTGGCTCCAAATGCAGATTCCAACTGCTATTATATTAAGTACATATTCAGAAGGACCTGCATTGATAACTACAATTGCATTTGTATCATTGAAACCCTTTTGGTGGGGAGGGGCTTACTGTGGAATCGTGGGTTACTTCTGAACCCTCCCTGACAATTCACTGTGTGGACTTCTCTAACTGAAGGGTCAGTGGCTGGCTTTGTGCGGGATCAGTGCTTTTGTTCATGCCCTTGCTGGTCTCTGAACACATTCCTGTTGCATTAAGACTTGACTTGAAAGATTCATAGATGTGTAATGTTCAGGCACAGGATATTAAAAGCTATGTTACTATTAGTTTGTAAATTGTCTTTTGATACCATCTTGTTTTCTTTTGTAGGTATAAATAAAAACACTGTTGACAATAAAAGTGCCACTTTTTCATTACCAAAAATTCTCTTTTTAGCAGAAGTCCAGTGAATAATTGAACTACAATGGTTTGCACCTCTCTGTAATCTTGGTCATGTCCTAGAACTTTGAAGGGACCAATATGCAAAGACCCAGGGAGGTACATTTTCCCCTGGAGATGTATATAAAGCTTGTATTTTAAGGGAATAACAATATTTAACAGTTCTAGGTCACCAATTTTCACATTTTACTGCTAATTTGACAAGGACTGAAGTATGTGTGTCTTAATATAGTAAGACTTAGTTTAACTTCTTTTGGTGCAGTCTCCCCAAGGCGGTTAGGATCTGCCTGATTCCGGTGTCCTTCTGTGGTTTGGGGAGAATGACCTTGGAGAACAATGACAGTCCTGACTTGAGGGATGCCTGTTACAGGATCGCACACTTCAGCCCCAGTTGTCCCACCCTTCATTTGTAAAGTACTAGATGAGAATTGCAGGGGGGGGAACAGGAAGCATTCTCTCCATCCCTTCCTGGAAAGTCCTTTTGTTCAAAAGCAGCACCACAGTAACTCCAGGAGCTGGTGGTCAGGAAGTTGGCATGGGAACTTTTGAAAGAGATCCATGGCTGCCTGGAGCTTTTGTGTAACTTCTCAATTGGGTCTTCAAACTGGCATTGGGAGACTTAACTTCTTTCCTTTAAGGACTGTTGAGACAAAAAGGAGATAGAGTTAGGCTTTACTGTTGTGGGAGAGAGCTGCCTATCCAGAGCATGTCAGCAAGCACTGATAAGAGGGTGGGTGATAGTTGAGGTTCCTCTTTGGGTGGACAATCTTGGTGGAAGTAGGGAGTCCTGATGGTTTCTTGAGCTGGGAAGTGACATGATCACACCTGTGCCTTATTAGTGTGGTAGCTGTGGTGTGAAGGGTGTTTTGAAAGCAGGCCACCCTGCTAAGAGGCAAAAAAGTATAAGGGTAGGACTGACAAGAATTGACAGCTTTCTAGGGAGGATGAAGACCTAAGAAAGACGTGGAGATGATGAGAGCCAGCAGAAATGAATTTGGAAGAGGGCGGGTTTTTTGTGGTACTGAGGTTATTGGACGTGGTAAATTTGAATGGTGAGATTGTCAAGGGAGAGGGTATAGAAAGAAGGTCGAAGTCAGCAACTGCATCAAGAAGAGAAGGGACAAAGGATAATGGGAGTAGTTAGGAGAGGACTAGCGTCTGAAGCGAGAGAAGAGTAGCCTTGCAGGGATAGTCAAGTAGGGAAAAGCCCCTAAGAAGGGGTCATTGGATTAGTCATTGTCAACCTTTGGGAGCTGTCTGAATGTGGTGAGGGAGGAAAAACCTGAACCTTCTCCTTTGTAGGTACATGGGAAGGAACCGAGAAAGGGAGAGTTAAGATGCATGGGAGGAAATGGAATTGAGGATACAAGTATTGGGAGAAGGGATACCTCTGAGAATGGGTGCTGATGTGCCCATCTCTAGGAGACTAATGTGTTTGGGGATTGGGGCGGGGGGTTCATTACGGGTTTTAGAGTTTCCTTGGAACAGTTGACCTGGTTAATCAACTGCCAGGCAGTCAGAGAATTCCAGAGGAGCTGTGAAAGCCCAGCTAAGATGTGGGTGAGAGCTGAGCTCCATTACTTTCCTCTCTGGTGACTAGGAGATGCCCAGAGGATGGAGGTTATCTGGGGCTAAGGATTGTTTGGCAAGAGGTTTGGAGGACAACCTTTCTCAGGTGATGACTCTGTCTTTCAATTGGCTGACCAAAGATAACCTAGGAAGACTAGAGAGCAGGAGCTATGGGGTACTCGAGGACCTAGGATGTTTAATGGAGGAGTAGGAGGAGAATGATCCTGGGGTGCTGTATAACTCCCAAGAGGTGCTGAAAGCTAAAGACGGATGCTGGAGTGGGGAGATTATTGGAGTTGAGGAATTGTGTGGAATATTAGGAGTTTGTGAAATGAGTGGGGAAAACTATGCTAGTTAAACTAAAAACCTGGTCATTGAGCGTAGGCAGAAGATAGGGTTTACTTATTCCTAGAGATTCAACAGAACTAAAACAATCAGTAACTTCAGTAGCAAGACAAAAAAAACTTAACACAAAAATCGCTAAACTTTCAGAGTATGACAAGAAACAAGATGGGAAAAGAAATTCCGTTCAAGATAACTACAAAATGCATAAATATTTGGGAGTCAGTTAACTTGCTTGACTAAGACTCTTGGGACTTAGAAATAAACAGTAAAAAGCTACAGAAACAGGATGAGTGATTGGAAGGAAGCAAATTGTAGTTAGGCTGCATTAATATAGAAATAATTGTGCTATCAATTAATTTATAGATTTAATGCCATGCTAATCAAATTATTAAAGAATACATAGGAAAATTGATCAGTGGACTAGGCCAGGTAAGCAAAACTCAAGGATCTGAACTGCTGGTGAAAAACTCCCCTATTTGGCAAACACTGGGAAAACCATAGTTGGGCAGGAATTAGGTTTAGATCAACACTTGCTATATCATAATATAATCCAAATAGACTACCTAAATACAAAATGTCACAGTATTAAAAATTTTTTTGAAAGTGCATTGCACAACTGTGGTTGAGGGTGGGTGGGAGAAGGAAGATGAGTGGAATTCTTGACTAAAGGAATAGAGGTGATCATAAGAGGGAAAAAAAATAGGATATTTCAATTCTATAAAGCATTTGCATAAGCAAAATTAACGCTGTCAGAAGAGAAGTTGTTGGGAGAAAATGTGCCAAATATTTTGGTAAAAGGGTCTATGAGATAGAGAATACATTCAAATACTGTAGTAACAGAAGCTTATTCCCCAATAATTACATGTCCAAGAGATATGGGGGAAATTTTCAAAAGGTACAGCTCAAAAACCATGAATGTTCCAAATATAAATACAAATTAAAGCTCAGCTGTCCGATAATCCAAGAAAAGACGACAAAAACGAAAGCAGTAAATGTTGGAGGGGCTGTGGAAAACTAGGTACATCAATGCATAGTTAGTGGAGCAGTAACTTGGGCCGACTGGTGTCACCAGCTCAAAGAGTATACCCAGTCATACACACCAGGGAGGTTAAGGACAGGCCAATACCCTATATTCACAAAATGTAAGGGCTTTGTAGTATGTCGGTGGTGGGGGGTGGGGGTGGGGAGGAGAGTGGGTGAGTGCAGATGGGGGAATGTCTGAACTGGCAAACGGATGTAGTGTCTTTACCATGGGAAGGAAGTACAGAGAATTAGATGAGAGAACTTGTATGAACCAATGCAGAGTGAAGGGGTCTATCACAAACCAATTTATGTTACAAACAGTAACAAATGAAGATGAAATTGAAAGGCTTCAAAATAATTCAGTCTATTCCCTGATTTTTATTTTGGAGTACTGTTGAGGAAGCAAGCCTTCCGCTTCTGGACATGAAAGATGTGTTGGTTTGATTGGGTTGACTACTGATTTCCTCTGGGGGTGGCCATAATTAAGTAGTAACAATGATATTCCCACCTTCCACTCTCCCCTGGCACCTACCTTTTGTCACATACAGGTAGAAGAAGTCGCAGTAGAAGATGGTTTGCACCACCCCGGACACCACCGCAATTTGGTCGTAGAAATTTTCCGTGTGGTACCTCCAGATCCAGTTAGCCAGATAGAGAGCTCGATAAAGCCCCAGGAAGAAAAGGTAGTGAGTGGTGATGGTCTCTGCCTCCCCGGTCTTGCTGATCATGAAAAGCTGGGGCAGGATTGCCACAGACTCCAGGTAGATAGAGAAGGTCCAGAGGATCTGAACCAAAGGGAAGCACAGTCAGGAGAGAGGCAGCAGGGAGTCAGAAGACTGATACCATCTCGTACAAGTGACTTCCTCCCTGGAAGTCAGCTTCCTCATCTGTAAAATGAGAGGACTGGACTATATGGCCTGGGGTCTCTTCCAGCTCTAAGTCTATGAGTCCAAAGCCATTGGGAAATGCGAGTTGGGACCGAGTTATTGTGGGGTTCCTTTTAAGAGGGAGCACAAATGTTAACAGTTTTCCCAGCAGGAGGAAGCGTACGTGTTGGTTCAGTCCTTAGAGGATTGTGGTCTTAGAGCTGGAAATGACGTTTCAGCTGATCTAGGCTGACCTCGAGGTACAGATGATGGGAATGTATCGTTAAGTGCTTTGTCTGAGTCTATAGTAGAAGTTAAAGCAAAGTCAGGACTGACGCCCTTGTGTGACGGTATCCTCAAGAATTGTGGGATCATAGGTTTAGAGCTGAAAGTGACCTAAGAGATCTCCAAACTCCCCATTTTAGGAGGGAGACCCAGCCTTGGGAGGCGCTGTACCCCAAGTCCAAACTAAATGTTGTTCTCCAGGGTTAGATCCTCTGAGAAGCTAAATTAGCTTTTTCCTTCATTCAATCTCTGGACTTAATTTTATGAATTAGCCTTGAGAATGTGATGCTGAATGTACTTTTTAGAAGGTCTTAAGCAAATAAAGATATCTGCTCTTTTTAAGCTGCACACTCTAAACTTTAAATTATGCCATTTGTGCCAGTTTTAAAAAAAAATGATTTTTTTTTTATTAAAAGGAAAAAAAAAAAAACCACCTACAGTGGCCAGGGAAGTGTAATTGCCCAGTGGCTTTTGGTTTGAGGCCATGGTCTGGCAAACTCCCTGAGCATCTGTAATTCTGGTCGAAGGATCAAGGGACATTTATCTGCCAGCAAGAATGTTGTGGAAGAGGGGCTGAATCAGCTTGGAGGCCTGAGGACTTGGATCGGGGGTGGGGACCCTGTGTGTTGGAGGCCACATGTGGACTTGAGTGCTCAGGTTCCCCACGCCTGAGTCTTGGACCACTGAACAAGACCGGGGCAGGGGGAAACAGCTTTTCATTTTCCTTACCTCCAGCGGGGTGAAACTGTAATTCTCAAGGAAGGAGAGACCAGTAACTGGGACCAAGAGAAATTCTAGGCGGAACGTGTCATTCTCACTGTCAAACGATTTCCAAAATTTCCAGTAAATCATGTATACGGTGACATAGGAACA